AGAAATGACCTTCAGGAATTAAAGCTATTTTATCCATTCATGGAAACTGTGTGTCCAGTATTGATTTTGGACCAAACTATCAATGTTATAACAAAATATTGCCCATTTTTTAACATTGACATTATAACCTCCTTACCCAACCTTTGTGCTGGCTTCCAGAAAACTCTTTCCTTAGTATATATTCTCTGCCTGAATTCTATGTAATCTTGAAGTTTGGTGGTTCTGTCTTTAGCTGAGAAGCACCATCCAAATACCACATCAGAAGCTTTCTTGCAACTGATGGGAGCTTTCTTAGATGTGGAATGTATTCTCTGGTGTAGTTTTTGAACTTAAAAGTCCAAGTAGTAGGATAATTCTCTGGGACCTATATTTCCTAATTGTGGTTATTTTGAAAAAAATCTTCCTTCTGTTCAAAATAATTATAATTAGGAAATTATTCTACTCCTGCTTTTAGTTCTAAAAACAAATTCCAGAAATTATTTTGTTTTACCCATATATAATGACACATTCATCATCCACAAGAACAGACTTTCAACAAGCAACCTCTGACATTGATACTCACTCATTATTTTCTAAATCGTTGTTTCTCTTTTAGTTTTTATATTTGATTCAGAAGCCCTTTTGGAGTTGGCTTTTGAATCATGATTATGGTGTTTTCTAGTATGTATGCTCATCTTCTATTATGTTTGATAAACTGGTAGTTTTGTACATGGATCACACTACTATATTCTAGTCATGGAAATATATACTGTTATAGGTTGCATGTAGTATATTTTAGCAAGCAAGGTGATAGATTTTTGTGTTTTCATATTTAATAACAGTACATATGAGCCTGTTGAGGACATTATCATTAAATCTACAATAGTATATTTGGTCCTCATGGTGCCATCCTATTTTACAAAGTATCCACAAAAGAATTAACACAGTAATTTAGGGAAATCTTGGCATGTCTCACTTAGATTAATTGCTTCATTTAGCATACACAGTAAGAATTTCCATTTTTGTTATTTCATCTGAAAATATTACCTGGGCTCCTCCCTTTCACAGTTCTTACTTACTGATTTAACAATTTTAGCTTTAACAATTCTTACATATGGTACTATGAAAATGAATTGTACGAAACCCATGGTATCAATATGTGATTCAATCTTTAATTATACTCATACATTTATTACGTTTAGAGTAACTAATTTCATTTGTTGCAATGAGTTACAGTATCTGTTGAATCATTCAATAATTTTAATTGTGGAAAATGAATAAATCTTTAAACTTGGGTACAATAAGAATTTCCATGCTCACTATGTAAACAAAGAGTCGATGGAACATCTTTAATCTCACAAATGTCCAGAGTCAGATGTGAAGTTGACTATTTTTTCTAAGAGCTGTTTACCCTAGAAAGAAAATCTCATTTAGAGGTGATTTTAACAGTCTTCATGCACACACTGTTAGTAGTTTCCCAAGACACTTGGACTTTTAATCAGAACCATAAAATATTTATTATGCAGAAAGATAGAAAAGTATGTGTTTATGTTTTTGTATTTTTGTCTATATTACATGAACTTATGTAAAACTCTTCTCAGTGGCGTTTATGGTACTTATTTGCTTAATAGTATGCATACATTTGATAATTTTTCAAAATGTTAACAGCATTTTTCTTATTAAAATTCAATTTCATAATCCAACACAGTTTTATTTTTCTATTTTTTATTTTTACTACAAACTTCATATTGAATATAATCAGTAATTTATACTAAATGTTTAGTTTGGTGGAGCATAACTTTGATTTTAAAGTTTTTGTTAATGCGAACAAAATGAATTTCTTTATTCTATTCATCTTATGGGACTAGCACCTAATGCAGTTTCTCTTTATACTAGTAGAGTTGGTGCTGATGGACCCAGAAAGATGCCAACTAGAAAAGAGCTACTTGATTATCTGGACTGCTACCTGAAACCCTGTGCCTAGTGCCTGCTGTACTTTCTGTCTCTGAAATCTAGGTTGCTTTGTGTTTCTTTCCTCTCCCCTGTGGTATATTGTATCAAACACATTTTTCTTTTTTTATTAAAACTAGAAACAATTTTATTTTATATAACAATACCACTTCTCTCTCCCTCCCATTCTCCCAAATCCCCACACCCACCCCCATTTCTTCCCTCTTCTTCTCTATAAGAAAGGGGTGAGGCCTTCCATGGGAGATCAACAAAGTCTGTCACATTATTTGGAACAGGACCTAGCCCCTCCCCCATGTGTCTAGGCTGAGAGGGTATCCCTCTATGTGGAATGGGCTCCCAATGTCCATTCGTATTTCAAACACATTTTAATGAAAGTCATTTTGAAAATTCACTTGTATTCTGAGGTAACTGGATACATTATATGCTTTTAAATTATTTTTTGTAATTGTTATCCTAATTGGTCAGTCTGTTTTTGTTAGAGGATATGAAGAAATTTGGAAGCATGAATCATTATTATTTCCCAACTCTTTGCTTACATGTAAAACTAAACTAGAAATTATGTAAATCTAGCTTTCAATCCATTATCCTGTTATACCAACTCTTGAGAAGAATTTTAGTTTGTAATCAATAACTCTTAGAATTCAATGTCTGCAACTTGACTGTTATGACGATTTGAATATTTTATCTTTAGAAAAAAATTGAGTTAAACCTCATATAAAATGATTTTCATTCTTAGATTGTACAGTGTAAGTTAACCTTTCAGTTGAGCTCAAAGAACTTTAAATTTTTATTATTTTTAATTATATTCTGCAGTTTGTTAAAAAACAAGCAGTTAAGAAATAGGGTTTTTGTCTGCTTGCTTGTTTTTGCATAAGTTGTATGTGGAGAGCAAGTTCCTGAGGATAAAAATGATTCAGTATTCAAAGACATCATTTACTCTTTGTTTGAATAAAATATTACCAAATGTATGCTGTGCAATTGAAATTTGATAAGAAAAACATTATTCTAAAAGGTAACTGTCAGAAAAATCTTGACACATTGCAGAGTTAGGTTCCATTAAGGCTATTGATTATCCACCTTTGTCAAGTGCTTATGTTGAATTTATCATGTTATAAAAACTTAGTTTAAAAATAGTCACTAAAAATTATGTGTGTCTTACATATTTAAGAGATGTGTACTACTTTAATTTAAAATATAAATTCTTAGAAATTGTGGGCCATGTTGTTTGTGTTTTCTGTATTTCTCTTTAAATATTGTGAGAGATCAATAAATATAAAGCCAACACACTGTGCCTCCACAGAACTAGACATGAATTCATAAAGTGATGATCCAAACAACACACAAAATATCTCATTTGGAACTAACCACGTAAAGAGGCAATGGGGAACAGATGAAAGCACGCAGCTGTCTCATTCCAGAAGTTTACTTGGAAAACATCCCAGAGAATACAGGAATATGTTCATCTTTCCTATGGGCTCTTCCTTTCGGAGCTGCAGAGAGCTTTCCAATAAACATTTCCTCTTCATGACAGTCCTGTGATGTTCATATACTGTCAGCAGTTAGCTATTTAATTTTTTCCAGATAAAACTTTACTGTGATATTTGTACCTTCAATGAAAACTAAAACTCTAAAAAGTGGCTACCACATTGAATTTAATTGCAGGTAATCTTGATTTGATTATGGCTCAATAAAGACATCAGAGACATTTCAGCAAATGAAGGACATAGAAGTGTACATTTTCATTCAGCACTGGTTGCATATTTGTTAATGTAGCAGTGTCACTTTAAATCTTAAATTGCATTAAGAGATAATATGTAATGTCTGCTCTGAAATTAGGAGGAAGCTGGACATTTTATAAATACTAACATCATTTATTATATTTTTATAATATGACATAGCTTTTAGCACTTTATATAAAACCTAAACTATTTTAATATAGTACTATTTATTTTTAAATCTCTCTGTGAAACAAGAGATTTACTAATATTTCTTACTACAGAAATGGAAGACATAAAACTCAAAATTGTTTCAATTTATATATTTTTAAAGTGTATAAGAGCTGCATTTGATGTTAGAACATTTCAGTTGAATCAGGCATACATTTCAATGATGACTTAGTAGCAGTTCATTTTTGAGATGTTTATTGAGTGTCAAATAGGTGTTGATTATACCTGTCACTGCTACTTTCAGCATCCCTTAGATACTTGTGATGAAAACAGCTAATGTTCTGGTCAGTGAAGTAGACCAAAACTGGAGAATATCTTACTTTATAGAAAGCTGCTATATTCTTATGATAGTACATATCTTTAATGAAACAGGTTGAAGAATAGTGTCTGAGTTGGCCTCTTAAAAATATCCTTTGCTGTTTCATTTGAGAAAATCCTACAACACAAGAGGTATAATCAAATCATGGAGTAGAATTGGGAATCTTTATTAATGATAATGCATAAATCCTTATCTAGATTCAGCAGAGATTAGAGACCTACAGAGAAGTAAATGGATTGACACTTCAGATGGAGCAATAGCATTTACTTATTTTTAAAATGAGTTTTAAAAGATGCCAGAGATGCTTAAACAGTATTAAGTAAAATTTCAAATACTTGACCTTCAGAATTATTTATTTCACTAGAGAATAAAGCTCATAAAATCGCAAAAAGTAGCCGGGCGGTGGTGGCACACGCCTTTAATCCCAGGACTCGGGAGGCAGAGGCAGGCAAATCTCTGTGAGTTCGAGGCCGGGCTGGACCGATAGCCTCTGAAACAATACAGAGAAACCCTGTCTCGTAAACCCCCCCCCCCCAAAATCGAAAAAAGTGGCATCAGAATTAAATATGGACAGTCACAAGAAAGTGAATACACAATGTCGTAATTTCCTTTGATGGCAAATAATGTATAAATGAAAATAAGATGAATGATATTTTTTGTGTGTTAAGTTTAATGTTGTTTTAGATGTAGAAATCAAAATTTCAAATCAAAACTTCCCACTCATATAAAAAGGATGAATAATGATTTTAAAAAGTTGGTGGATTTCACACACACACACACACACACACACAAAACAAAAGAAAAAAAGAAGAGAAAAATGGAAACGCTCAGCCTAATCAAAACACCCAGTAAAAGGAAGATTTTTGAGAAAAATTGTATATGGGCCACCTAAAAAGTGCATATTGGACATGGTACACACTCCTGAAATTCTAGTGAGGGGAAAGGGTAAAAGCATTAGAACAAGGAGTTCAAGGCCGGCATCAGCTACACAGGAAGGTTGAGGCCAGTTTGCACTGAATGAGACACATTTGCTTAAAAGAGACTGTTCACAGGGATTATGGTGCAGAATTGAAAGAAACACTGCTTTTTCAGTCAAATAGATCTTGATGCAGTTTGAGAATGCTTAAAAGGTATCAAGTAAAATTTCAAACGCAACCAGCTTGACCTCCAGAATTATTTATTTCACTAGAGAATAAATCTCATAAAATCGCAAATAGTGGCATCAGAAATACAGAGGCAAGTTTATTCCTAAGGCTTGGCAACCAATAAAGAGCCTTCTTGATTCATTCCAGGTGAGTGAGAGATCTCTGCAGGAAAAAAAAATTAAAAGATGGTAGTAGAGAATGATATAAGAATGTCAGTCACATAACCCTCTGTGGTCCTCTCTGCTGTCTTCTGTGTACAACTTCTGGGTACACACATGCACACAATAATAATAATAATATTAAGTTATAAGTTTAATTATTTTATAGAATGTCTATGAATGACCGAATACAATGTGAAACTTTGTCTTTGTAATTTTATTATTGTCATAGGAAAACAAATAAAGGAAATTTATTTCTCTCCTTTGAGACTGAATCCAGAACACTGTGCTTCATTCTTCAATCTACCTTCCCCAGAGGCAAGAAGAGCTCATTTCACAATCCGGCTGTATATTTATGCTCCATTGTTTTGTAGCAAATTAACATATGTTATACTTGTCACAGGAAAATGATTTGTGAAAAATATCTATTTATTCTTTCCACAATGCTTAATTAGAAAATGTTTCTTAGAATAAGTTTATTAAAGGGATATTTTTTGGAGGCATTAATGTGTCATTACTGAGATTTTGAAAGTGATGAAGTGGTACATAGCAATTTCTAAAAGAATGAAAACTTCAAATTCAAAATACTAGAAATACAAGTGTCTGAAAGATTAACTTTGAACTTTAAAAAGGGCTTTTGCTTCCACCAGAGCCTGTAAGGTGCTTCCCCTTAAACTTTTGCACATTGTGTTTTGGCACGAGAGTTGTCTCTGGTCAAGACTTCATGAAGCTACTCTGATAAAAATAACAGAATAATCAAAGTAATGTAAATAGTTTCTATTCTACTATTGTTGTTTTAATACGAATAATTTACCAAAATAATCAAGAACTTGAAATGATAAAACTTTTATGGAAGTTCAATATTTTATTGAATATCATGTCAGAGAAAACATACCTACTGAGTCATCCCTGAAAATAGGGAAAAAGAAGTGGAACTCATGAAGATATCCACTCATGATAGTAAAGCCCTAACATTTAAGAAAAAAGGAAATGATCTTACCTATTACTAGAAAAAAGCACTACCAATACTATGACTCCGCAACGGTTGCTAGTTACCAAGATTTATTAAATATCGTTGTAAATTACTCAATATACATTCTGTCATATAATGTCATAGCATTAACATTGAAATAATTTTCCTTGTCTTAGCATTATGAAGCATAGACTCTATTATGTAATATGGCTATACATTCTGTGTGTGAGAGATAGAGTAAAACACTGAACAAATGATGTTGCGCCTTCAGGCATGCTACATGAACTTTTCTTTCTGTGAATGACAAACATTTACCACACAGGACCCAAAGGCCGGAAAAAGAAATGAGTTCACTCAATTCAAAATCAGAGAGACAATGAGTCCAATGAAAATTAGTCATATGAGTATGTGGGATGAGTTCTTTACAACAGTATTGGCAACCTTACTTTAAAAAAGCAGCAACGAAAACTCTTTTCCCTGGAACCTCCTGTCTTTCTAGATAGGGACATGGTCTCATTAGCCCCTCCCCACAACAACCTTTAACTAGCTAGCTATAACTCTTCAGAAATTATGGGATATAGTATGCCTGCTATTGTTCTATTTTTCATTTGTATAAATGGAAAGTTACTGGGCCCAGTTTGTTGAAGATTTCTCCCCAGTAGTAGCCGATCCTCATAATTCAGGTGAACAGTATTGTAATATGTCAAGAGATTAGCATTCCTCAAGGAAGTATCATTTTTTCATATTATGTACAAAGATAAAATTTCATCTAAAAGTGCAGAATATTGCTGAATAAGAAGAGCAAGAAATCTTGACATTAAGCACAGTTCTTTTTGTGTAATAATAATTCCATTTTATGTAGTTTACCCAAGAAAATAAATAATTGCTTTAAACTCGAATATAATTTATGAATATTCTTCCGTCTCAATCACCCTGAATTTTCTTTATCTTACCAGAGAGAAAAAAAATTGAACTTGGTTAATTTTCATTCTTGCAGCCTGTTCTCCTTGAACCTTTTTTTTTCTTGTTCTGGTCCGTCCTCAAGTTCTCTATGACAGTTGCCAAACCTGTATCTAACTCACTTTGTCTGAAATCCCCTGGAACAAGTTTCTCTTTCATTTTGCTTGAATGACACCTCCAGAAACAATATTGATAAATGTTCACATAGATGGTCCATGTTTGAGGCATGTTCAACTTAAACTGTCTCCTTCTTGGTTTTGTTTTGTCTGTTGTTGTTTATAAATTATAGTGTATAGAATTTTAAATTAGAAAATAAATTTATTCAGAGAAAATATTCTAAATCCTTGATTATGCTATTTCTGTAAAGAAAACTAGTGTCCAATTAATAATTAAAATTGTGCATGCACATAATTACAATTTGTCCTTTGTAGCAGCTTCAATTTATACTCATAGCATGCATTGGTTTTTCTTGGGGGGGGATCACTGCAGCAAAATATTTTTCTATTTGTTCTAACAAAAACTTACTAGCCCAAAAAAACAATAATGGTGAAGGTTAAGGTCCTGCTTGAATTGTAAATATGCATTAATCACTAGAGATTGTGTACTCTGGAGTCTTTTCTGTTCTGGAACAGAATTGTGTTTTCAGATTTCATCACAGATAAAGATATCTAAAGTTTTCTCTTTCCCTATAAAGGATTTTCCTATGTTAAAAACATTTTCACTGCCTTACTCCTTTAGGAATGAGTGCATGCGTTGTGTCCATGCTTTCTTTAAACAGGGAAATAATGCGCTATCTAATTTATGAAGACTTGAAACAGTTTTCAGGTCTTCTATGTGACAAAAACACCAAATTTTATGCATGTTTAACTAATCCATTTTCACTGAAAGTCTTTACGTGGACGTGGACTGTGGGTAGCTACTATGACTCTCGCAGTACTTACAGCAGTTAACTTCAGTCTGAGATAGAAGGTGGCAAGCTGTGTAACATCCACATGGAATACAGCCTCAAGTGTAAGTGTGGTATCTTGTTCACAGTGACTCTCTTTGTCATTAATGATTTTGTGCACACTTTATCTAGAGATTCATTCTATCCACTGTAGTACACTTAGGAAAATTAATATTTGATAATTTTCTTTTGACTCACTTTGCTCTATACCATCATTTTCTATTATATTATATAGTCCATTGCAGAATATAATTTTCATTTTTAAAAGTAGGAATGTATGTGTCGATTGATTGATCCATTGAATGTACATTTAAAGTTTATTAACAGTACAACATTACATTAATGATAATATTGTTATATGGTCTAGACTACAGGAACTTCTTGTTTGAGAATTAGTTTTTGTTTTCAAAAGTATCAGAATTATAGACATTGCTGTATTATATACTCTTTATCTTCTAAAACAGATATTTTTGGCTTTTCTTTCTTTCTTTTTGTTTTTGGAGACAAGGTTTCTTCATGTAAGAGTTTGTACACCAGGCTCGCCTTGAACTCACAGAAATCTACCTGCCTCTGCCTCCATTGTACCAGTATTAATGGCGTGGGAACCACTTCCCAGTTGAACTTTTTTTTATAATGGTTTTCAAGACAGGGTTTCTCTGTATAACCCTAGCTGTCCTGGAACTCATTGTAGTCTGGGCTGGCCTTGAACTCAGAAATCTGCCTGCCTCAGCCTTCAAAGTGCTGGGATTAAAGGAGTGTGAAACTACCACCTACCTATTAAGAATTTCTATTGTAAATTTCCACAGAGATTTTTTTAACAATGAATTTTGTAGTTCAAACATGTTTGTATTGATGTGGCTAATTTCTCTGTATGCCTGGGGTAACTCCTTACTGAATTTCCTTCAAACATTGAAAATAATTTATTAAAATGAGCAGCTAAAATAAATTAAGCTGTATGTTCCTTCACATGGCTATTTTTTAAATTTCTTTTATTTAAATTAGAAACATGAATGCTTCACATATCAATGCCAGCTCCCTCTCCTACCCCTCCTCCCTTATTCCTTCACCAAACCCCACATCATTCCCCAGGGAGGGTGAGGCCCTCCTTGCGGGGATCTCCAAAGTCTGTCATTTCATCCAGGGCAGGACCTAGGCCCTTCCCCTGTTCACATGGCTATTTTTTCATTTAGGTATTTACTTAGTAATATGTAGATGCTCTCTTATTCCAAACAGTTTCAGTCAACAATAAGAGCAAAACATTACATTCCTTTCTTACATTTCACACTTCATGTAGTAAGAATCAATGAAAAGAATCTGGGAAAATTAAGTTTTCATCACACATTAAACATTTTAAAAAGTTATTTAATAATTGTATTTTAAGATGTAAAACAAATCTAAGGAGTTCAGTAATATCAAGTGCTTTAGAAACCCACCATAGGAAAATCATGGGTACATTTCATCTCTTTTCCAATTGAAGGAATGTGGATTTTCTGTCCAGTTTTTTTATAATGTATTTTATGAAGTATCATTTTACTGTTTGATCTGGCATCATTATTACTTTTAGTTCCTAATATCCACATGTTTCTGATATTATACCTTTCACTTTATTGAAAAATTATCAGATTTTTGAATGTTTCTTTCTTAATCTCTCCCCGACTCCCTCTCTACTCCCAGCATGTTCCTACCTCTCTTACTCCTTCCTCCATCTGCAATCTAGAATTTCACTTACACGCATGTTACATGATTGATTTTTCATTACTCTTTCATTTTCCTTAGTATTTTTCATTAAACTGCCTCTAGGCTCACTGATGTCTTAGTGATGTATATGCTGCTCATGAGTGTAGAAGACCGTCTTGTCTTTACTCTCTATTTTGTTTCTAGAATACCTCTGATTCTTTATCATCAACTTTCACCAGAAATCTCTTATCTGATCAGCATGCCATCTATTTTTTAAATTAAAATCGCACTTAGTGTTGAGATATTCAAATATGTTCAGGATTATTTTTGTAGGTTAAACCTTACTTATATTTTTCTCACTTTTTGTATGTTTCTTAGATTTTATTGTTAGTATATGCGTATATGACATGTGTGTACAGGCACATACTTGAATGTGTGAATGTAGGGG